CTTTCTGCTACTGCCAGCTCCCATGGTGTGATCAGTGAAGTTCAGTTCCAGGGGATAGAAGGAGGGTGTGAACCGCAGAGACATCTCAAGTTTGCACGGTGATAAGGGAGGCTAATAGTTTTGTGGGCTCACTCCTACAGCACGGTGTTGGGCTGTTGCACAGGGCATATTATGTGACATAACCATGTGGCAGGAAGCAGATGTTACATTGTTCTTCTACATTGCTTTGTGATTGGGCATCACTGGTACCGGGTTTTCCTGAAACCACAAGGGAGCATCGCAGGCTGCAGAGCCATTTGCAGAGAAAGCTCCAGAGCATGGGGCCACTCTCGGAAACATAGCAGTTTAAGGGTCACCTTGAATTAATTTTGTGGGAGTTTTGAAGGGTGTGGTGATTTAATTTCTCTGCACGTAGAATCTTAGGTGGCTGGTTAACATGAGTCAGGGTCACAGTTTTCCTGGCTGAATTTCCTTTGGTCTTTTACTTAAAATTTGACGATATTTCCTGCATTTGTTCTTGGCTTTTTCTCTCTATCCCCTTTATTCTTTCACAAATATTGTGTACATTCTTGATTATTGTAGCTTTGTGGTAAATACAGAAGTTTCATTGGATCAATGTGTGTACTGCTTTTTCATAATCCTATTGAGCATTCTAAGCGTTTCTACTTTTCATGTAGCTTTAGAATCAGCTTTTCTGTTGTGAATTCTTGGGCAAACTGACCAAATACAACCTCTTAGTACTGATGCATCGTGTTCCCAAGGATCATGCATTTACTTTATATGCTCAGATTTTATTGTTGTTAATCTGGGAAAGGCTTTTAGTGTATTGGATAAAAGAGAACAAAGGTCTTGGCCAGTGTGTCAACACATATTCTCCTTGGGCATGACCTGAGTTCAGATCTAAGCACCTAAGTTAGGAGGCACATAGCCACCTGCGTATCCAGGTACAGGGGATCTGATACCATCTTTTCTGGTTTATCACCTGTACACACATGGAAGACATTCTCCTGAACACACAAACATACACACACACACACACAAATGGAGATAAGCTGGGTGGTGGTGGTACATGCAAAAAAGTTGCTTTGGTTACATAATAAAAATCATACATGGTTTCTGTAAAAATCTGTGATCTTGCATTTGGTTTGAGAAAGTTTTCCTTGCCTCATTCTAATACTGACTTAACATCCAATCATCAATCATAGGAAATAAGATGTTTTCTAAGTGATCCTAACTTTAATAAGCATGAAGATAGCTATGCATAGTTAATATAACAAAAGTTATATTCACTATGCTGATGGTCATCACACAAGGTTCCCACTCTAAATTCCTAACTAAGGTTCTAAGCCTGTCTCCTCAAGGCTACTCATCTGTGTCACGTATCTTAGCTGAAGGTCACGTCCAGTTTCTAACAGATATCTCCAGTTCAAGGTTCAGGATCCTGGGGGAGATGCTCTAGTGCTAGGCAGATCAAGGTGTTGTCTCCCCAGATGTGCAGAGTAGAGCATTTCTCTTGTTCTCTGCTTATATACTGTCCAGCGGTGTCATAGGATTATAGGACTGTGTTGGGTTATCTAGAGTAAGTGATGTCACTGGGTTCTGGCTATCAGGTACAGTCTTGGTTATAGTGGGGTTCATGAAGAATCTATTTTTATATATCTAACATGCTGGTTTCCTTTTCTTCTTTCCTTTCTTCCTTTCTTCCTTTTTCTACGCTCATTCCATTCTATTTCCTTGTCCTTTAGTTATGCAGTAAATATTCCAATTACCAGTAGACAAATAAATTCAGGAAAATAAATCTCAGACATGAAAACACAATTATTAAGCAGAATGGACAAAGTAATATAGATCATAGGATATTGCTGTGATCCCTCTGGAAGATACATATTTTCCCAAAATTATATTTTCTCTAGGTTTGGTATGCACCAACTTGAAAATCCATTCAGAAATAAAAGGAAATGCAATCATTTTCAAATTTGCAAAGGAGGGCATAGCAGGGTTTGAGCTGCAGGACTCTTAAGTAAGCAGAATTGGAGTAGAGCATCATATTAACTCGATCACTGTCAAGCAGGAGTAGGTGGACAGTGGCCATGGACCAGGTATCTCTTTATTAAGGAAAAGAGTGAGTAGGAATCTAGCAAGCTTCATAATCAGCTTCCAGTGTTGTTTCTCAGTATTTTGTATTAATTTTATGAGAAAGCCAATGATGAATATAAAGCTGACGACTCTCCTAAGGAATCCATCTATGATTTATAACAAATGAATATAGAGTGCTCTTTTGGCAAAGAATGACAGTGATGTAATAAAGCAGAACCAAGAATACAATATTCATGACCTGATGTGTCATCGTGGAGATGAAACATTTCCTAAAGAAATTTTTTTAAAATAACAGTTTAGCTGCTTTGTTCCTTCTGGGTGATAGTAGTCTCTGGAGTTCATTATCATAGTTTCTCCTAAAATGAAGTTTATTAAATAAGCACAAGATAATAAGGGATTTATGTTCCAAAGGGGCCAATATGAAGTTTACAAGAAGTCAAAAGCACTGCTTCATCCAGTGGAATAATATCTGCGTGGGGAAGCAAGTATAGTCAAATATAAGTATCCTACTAGTCACATCAAATACAGAGCGTTTTTTAAATACTTCCTCCCTCTTTTCAACAGGATTCCTGGGGCTTGGTCCAGTATTTGGCTGTGGATCTCTGCATCTGTTTTCCTCAGTTACTGGATGAAGATTCTCTGATGACAATTAGGGCAGTCACCTATTCTGATTACAGGAGATGGCCAGTTAGTTCAGCCACCCTTTCCACTATTGCTAGTTTTATAAGAGCAATTTTTAAGCTTGCTTACTTTATGGGCATACGCAATAGTGTCTGCTTTGAGTACAGCTGATGTTGGACTCTGTCTATGTGTCCTCCTAGGGTCTGAGTATCCCTAGCAATCTCATAATCCATTGACTGTGATTGTGGCATGTTAAAGAATAGAACAGTAAAAATTTCATTAACGGCTTTCCTAGCCTTTCCCACAAGTCATCTTTGATTTCATTGTTATATAGGGTACCTGAATCAAAATAACGCTACTACTCTAGCACTAGGCTGGAGGTCTTGGACTTACCTATCCTATAGGTATACTAGCTATAGATATGCTAACTATAAGTCTGGTAGCATTGTATATTGTCAGACGAGCAGGTTTTGTGGAATAAAAAGTGGAGTCCAAGGTATCCCTGGTGATGTTCTAGCTATCAGTTGTAAGGGTGAAGGCTTCCATCGAGCATGCAGTAAAGACTCCACTGCCAAGGTCTGTGAGTTGGTTTGTACACGCCTAGGTGCCATTTCTGACATTTGGAGCTCATTGGGTAGAGGGTGGTTGGTCACAAAGATGTTGGCCCCAAGTGAGATGGTATGCTTCTCTGGGCAGCACATACCCTCTGTATTAGTCTAACTAGTCCATAGGAAATAATGAATGGGTGCAACAAATCCATCCCTGTGTTTGCTAGGTAATGGGTCTGTGTGATAAGCTGGTACTGCATTGTTTGTATAGACTTAAGAGTAAATGTGTTTTGCAGAATCCATGTTCACACAAAGAAGTTTGCCTTGTGTCCAGGAGAGACTCATAAATTGCTGTTTTTGTTTCAAATCCCATAGAAAAGGACTGAGATAGGTCTGTGTGCTCATTGAAAGGTTGGTGTTGCTTGATACATTGCTTGGACACATCCATTTGCCTGTGCCTCTGATATTTTTGAGAGATCTGGTTGGCGACAGCTAGTCTCTTCAAATTTTCAACTGTATACTTGTTAGACTCTGCCAACGAATGCTCTAATAATACATTTAGTTCCAGAGGAAGGCCTGTGGTCAGTTCATGAGTAGTAGGTAGTTCATCAAATACAGTGTTAATAGTCAATGTTTGTTCTTTAGTAAGATTTCTGATGGCTATGGTATCTGCATTGATGCCCCCTCAAAAAAAAAAACCAGATGCTATGCCAGCTCTGAGTAAGGAGCCAATAAACATATCTCCAGCAACCATAAATTGTAGGGGTTCTCTTGCAGCAAACCTATTTCCTGAGGAGTAGGAGAAGACCAGTGTTCTCCTAAAATCAGGCTCAGAGCAGAGTTCTTTAGTTGGGAGCCATGGCTTGAGGTTGAAGGTATGTGAGGTCTTCTGGGCCTAGGTATAATTGTATCTTGTAGGTGAACTAAGGTCAGGCATCACAATGGGCTCCCCAGTAACTATTGGTGGGGAAGGAGGAAGATTGGCAGATGATGCCTTATGAAGAATTAGTTTTTCTCATCCCATCCTCCTGTATCAATAATGCCTGGTGTTAGGCTGCCTTCTTTGATTTCACAGAATTTCCCCACTATGGTAAAGACATATCTCTTATCAAATTGGGGTCCTTTGTGCAGAGTTCCTGAATGTGATATTTTGAGTATAGGCTTATGGACTACACAGTCTCCAATGCCCCATTCCTTGAGCAGAGGTGGTAGAAGAATCATGCAGAAATAATAGGAAAGTCCTGGATGTGTGTATTTTCTGGGTACCAGTTTGGTAAGTTACTATTGTCTGCCTTTTTTTAAATGTGATATCTTGCCACAATGGAATAATAGGATCTAAGGCATGCTCTGGTTGCAAATTGCATCATATCTACTCTTGGGTTGATGTAATCAGTTTGTTAGCCAGTATAAGTCCCAGCTAGAATTTCAACAGTCTGGAAAATAATGTCCCATATTTGGGGAGGAAAGAAGTGTGTGATATTCCTGCCATGTATATCCAGATGCATGTGGAAGTCTGTTCTTTCATTGTTATGGAATAAACGCCTAGTATCACAGCTACGAAAGTTCTTTGTATTTGGCAAGCAGATTTCTTTCTTCCTTTTTTTTTGGTTCTAAAGATGGATTCCAGTGTATAATTGATAATTATTGGATTCCATTTCCTTTGGGTTCTTAATTTTCCTTAAAAAATGTGTCAGTAAATATAGTTGTCAAGTTGTAAATCTTTTGAGAGTGTGCATGAAAGAGACTGGTAGGTCAGTTAAGTTAGTTCACGTCTCTTCCACCCCTTAGGTTTGTTGTTTTGTTGGTGGTGTATTAAACCTTATGTAATGGTGGTCCAGTTGAAGTTGGAGTTATTTGTGGACTGCAAGGCAATTTGAACAAATTTCCCCTCACAAGTTCAGTGTGAATTGCATGACTGCATTGAGAGCTCATCCCATAGACAAGAAGTGACATTTGTCAGTGCATTAGTTCTGTTTTCATCAGTTGGTACCCATTCCAAAGATTCTATTATGGGGGATGAGGCCGCCATTAAAAATTGTGGTATATAGACCATGTCTGTACAAAATATGGCTAACAGTGCTAAGATATATTGAGTCTTATAGAATCTCTCCCAGACCCAAAGTATTTGTGTGTCTGCATGGGTTCTCCTCAGGTGGTGGGGTCAATGTCATAAGATGTGAAGTGTTGTGGCAGAGCATCAAGACCAGTGGAAATCTGTAAAAGTTGTGGGCCCAATTCTTCAATTTCCAGACCGTCATTAATAGGTAGAAATGAATCATTTTCTGCCTTTCCTATCAGGTGGTTACTCCATATGTCCATCTTACCATAGGGTAGGATGAGAAACTTGGCCACAAGCACTATAGTCATGTTTGTCTTGTTCTGTTGCGGGTATAGTTCAAAGTGAATTGGGCATTTGAATCCATATATTAGTGGTATTGTATCCCATCATGTTTTCCTATCAGTGTCTGGGTTAAAGGTTCAGTTCCGTCAAATCATGGGGTCACATGGGTTCACTGTGGTTGATGTTGAGGTCTCCTCAGTCAATTAATATGGCTCCTTATTTTGGTTCCAATTCAGATAATTGTATACATTTTTATTTATAATCGTTCTAAGTTTATTGTACTGATAGCCAGACACACAGTTGGTTTACCATATGTATGAGGCCAAAAATGCTGAGAGGAATTTTGTGTTTGCTGCTGTTTCCACGTTTGGCATCTCAAATCTTATTCTTCCTTTGTTCTTCATTGGAAGTTGAAAGGATGATTTAAGAGTTATTTATCTCCAGAGACGTTGTAGATGGCTGATGGTGCTGTGATATTTCTACAAATCTGTGTTAAATAACATTTAGATAGGTTTCTTTCTTTAAAATTGGCGTTTTTAGTGTATTCTTTATCACTGGTGACTATGGCTGTCAAACTTGGTGCAATATGGGCATTAGTCTTTCTCATTCATCACAATAGCTATTCCTAACTGTATTCCCAATAGCTTTACAGTGAGCATATTGAACATTGCCTGCATTCCTGGTGTATGCGAGGTTTAGGATGAAGTGTACATGGTTCTACTATTCTGGTAGGAATCTATCCAAGGTGTAGCAGGGTAAATCACCAATATCATAGTTTACTCTTTGTTATTGGATTATAGTTGTTATTTCTGTTGGTATTGTGGTTGTTTCTTTGTTCCTTTTGCTTTAGATATGGTTGTTGATGAAGGTGATGATGTCACTGACTTTGACCATCTCAGTAGTGTTGGGGATGGTGAAGCGAACAATAGCGCTGTTGTAGAGCCTGAGCTTGACTCATTGGGTAATGTTAAACTTACAGAATTCAACAGCAAGAGTCCCAAGAACAATGTTCTGGGTTCCTGGGCCTAGCGGATTGATAACTTGGTTTTGTTCCATCTTGTGTTCTCTTTTATTTTTCTTGTTAAAGTTTCTGAGACATAGGGTGTAATTTCTTAGGGCCCTGCTTTACCGTGTTCTATTTCCCTCTCTGTGTAGAAGGTGTAATGTCCAGTTAAGCACCAGTGTTGAGTAAAGTAATCCTAGAACTATTACTATCACTGAGGTTGTTTGAATGTATATGGCCCCCATAATCTCATAGACAGTGGTACTCTTTGGAGGTGTGGCTTTGTTGGAGTGGGTATGGTCTTGTTATAGAAGTGCATCACTGTGGGGTGGGCTTTGAGGGTTCATGTGCTCAGGAGACAGCCCAGTGTGTTAGCTGATTTCCTGTTGCCCGCAAGAAATAGCAGTCTCAGCTCCAGCACTACCTCTTCTGGCACACTGCCATGCTCCCTGCCGTGTGAATAATTGTGTGAACCATGAAACTGTAAGTGAGCCCCCTCGGTTAAGTATTGTCTATATAAGAGTTGACGTGGTCATGTTGTCTCTTAACAGCAATAAAAAATCAAAACTCAGACACCTATGAAAGTACAAATCCCAATATAATGGGTAGCTATATTATACTTGCATGTCATCTAATTTTCTAAGGTTCAGATTTCCCTTCTCATCTGTGGTCCAGATTATACTGCCTGTTCCAGATGCCATGCCTTCTGTTTCCTTTAAGTCTCGAGTATGTCTGTACCTGTAAACAGATTTGTGGGAATTATTCTGCCTGGTCAAGAAATATCTGGTGATTGTTCCAAGTCTGTCTTAATAGCTTCTTCTAAGAGAGAAGCTCTATTCAAACTTTGTCTAATATTTAACTAATAGCATGCGATTTCAGTAGCTTTTTTTCAGAGGATATCTTTGAGTTATAATAGCTTGTTTTTAAGCACCCCATTCCCTCCTTCTGTATTGTCAGCTGCAGTTGTGTTAGATGCTAAATGGAAGACTCACTATGTGTCCATAGTATGGAACCACCTCTGAAATTTAGGACCTGTAAAATGTGTTCCTTGATGTGAATCAATAATTATTGGGCAGCCATAATTGGCCATCCTTCATCAGAGTGTGAATTTTATTGGCAACTGGTCTGATCTATGACTTTCTCCAGCTAATCCAAGCCTTGTGCTTACATCTACTAGGGTCCCTGCATACAGGCCCCTATGAGTATTCAAGCGTCCAATGAAATCTATTTGTAGTTTCTAATGAAATTATTTACAGCTGGAATTTGATGTCTGAATAAAGTTTTAATATTGGATATAGGTGGCAGTCTCTAAGGGTCTGCCAGTTTGCCTTGAAATTCACTTGATCATGTCATTGGAACAAAGCATGAGTACCTACATGTCTCAGTGTTTTATGTAATCTTAGGATTTCTTCTTTACTAATTATGCTGACATTCTCAGATTTCTTAATTGTCCAGTCTGGTTTCCTTTTAATAGTTACTCTCACAGGTTTTCCTGATTTAATTTGGGTCACAATTTGCCTCTTTTTTATTGCTAGGAGTAAACTTTCAAGTTTACCAACTGTGTGATATATCATCCTTGATAATTTATTCTGAATTTGTTCCTTAGGAAGTTTTAACATTCTGATCTTAATTGAACATGATGCTAATGCGTCTGCTATTTTATTGTATTTTTAGATGTCTTGTCTGTCTTTCCTGTGTGTGCCTTAATGTGGCTTCTGCTAATTCTGCTGTCTTTGCTATGCTTTGACATTTCTGTCTTTGTCATTTATCTGACAGTTAGTGTTTTCCATTTTGATGATGAGATGGCTATGCCATTGCAAACTTCATGAACCGAACAAGATACCAAATTTCCTTTTGCCTTCCTTAGCTGTTTGTCTCATGCTCTCAGTGTTGCTAATACCTCAGCAGGTTGTCCTGGGTTAGTGGTTCCTACCCCAGTAACAGCCATCCCATCCCCTGTCTGTAGACTGCTGCTTTCCATTGGTTTAGGTCCCATGAGTCATCAGTAAACCATTTGTTAGCCAAATGCCACAACCATTCTGTTCGTCCCCACTGTCCAATAGATGCCTTTTTTGGGTGAGGGGTGAGGGGTGAGGGGTGGGGGTAATGAGGGGTGAGGGATGGAGACTATAGGCAATTGAGCTATTTCCTCAGTTCAAGAAAGCAGACTGCTTTTCTACCACATCCTGCTTATGAAGGAATTCCGATAGGTACCTTCCCACTGTGATGCCGTTTCTTCCTTGGCTAAGTCTACAAAGGATTCTGCCTGTGAGCAGCTCCAGTTCATCACTGAGCAAGTATCTAAATGCTCATGTCCTCAAAGATGTAATAACTCCACCAGACACTCTCTTACATCAGTGGAAGGCCCAAAAATTCTTTCTGCTGGAGATAAGGACAATGACTGCTTTCATCAAGCAGGAATTTTCCTCAAGCACATGAGGGAATGGAGGCCCTTATTCAAATGTCTGATGTTGGGAAATGAAGTTTCTTAGGGAACGGACACTCCACTAAAATTTAAGAGCAATTTTCATTCCCCCAAAAGCTTGATGCAGTATAAGCACTGAGCTATTCCCTAATTGCATTCTTTGTGTCTTAGCCTTAATATACGGGCTGTTTCCCCTCATGTGCTCCCCAAAAGAGAAGCCCCTGATATCTTACTCTTTTCCATTATACCACACAATTCTGATTTCTCTGTACTTATTAACTGAACTCTTGCCCTTAATGGCCACAGGCTCTGGATCTAGATTGTGTGTTTTTATCCTTGAGGTCAGATGTGTCCAGTTAGTAAATCTCTAGCTTTCCTGTTCTTGGTGCAATTAGGAGTGTCTTGTATGCAGTCATCATGCTATATGGTTCCATGGTTGCACAGAGCTTTTCCAAAGAATTGTCTTGTTTAAGGAGATGACCATTGTATATATTTATGTCTTCCAAAACCTGCACAAAACATTCAAAAAGAAAAGGCATAAGGGAAATCCCAAAGCACATAGTGAAAATCATTCAGTGTTTAGCTGTGGGTGTCTGCTTCTGCTTTCATCAGCTACTGGATGAAGGGTCTAGGATGGCATTTAAGGTAGTCACCAATCTCATTATAGGGGAACAACATTTAAGGTAGTGTCTCCACTGTTGCTAGATTGTTAGCTGGGGTCATCCTTGTAGATACCCGAACATTTCCGTAGTGCCAGATTTCTCTTCAAAGCTATAATGGCTCCCTCTATTATGATATTTCTTTTCTTTCTCTCCTCTATTCTTCCCTTGACTCAACCTTCCTGCTCCCCCATGTCCTTCTCTCCCCTCCTCTTCTCTCTCTCTCTTTTTCCCGGTCCCCTCTCTCCTCCCCATGCTCCCAATCTACTCAGGAGATCTTGCCTCATCCCCCTTCTCTGGGGTACCATGCATATCTTTGTTAGGGGCCTTCCTGTTTCCCAGACTCTCTGGTAGTGGGATTGTAGGCTAGCACTCCCCTGATCCATGTCTAAAATCCATACGAGTGAGTACATACCATGTTTATCTTTTTGTCACTGAGTTACCTCACTCAGGATGGTTTCTTCTGGTGCCATCCATTTGCCTGAAAATTTCAAGATTCCATTGTTTTTTTTCCACTGAGTAGTACTCTATTGTGTAAATGCACCACATTTTATCTATCCACTCTTCAGTTGAGGGGCATCTACATTGCTTCCAGGTTCTGACCATTACGAATAATGCTGCGATGAACATAGTGGAGCAGACATCCTTGTTGTATGAATGTGCATCTTTTGGGTATATGCCTAAGAGTGGAATGGCTGGGTCATGTGGTAGACTGAGTCCCATTTTCCTGAGGAATTTCCATACTGATTTCCAAAGTGGAGATACAAGTTGGCACTCTCACCAGAAGTAGAGGAGTGTTCCCCTTTCTCCACATCCTCTCCAGCATAAACTGTCATTGGTGTTTTTGATTTTAGCCATTCTGACAGGAGTAAGGTGGTAACTCACAGTGTTTTGATTTGCACTTCCTTGATGACTAGGGATGTTAAGCAGTTTCTTAAGTGTCTCTCAGTCATTTTAGACTCCTGTTGAGAATTTTCTATGTAGTTCTGTAGCCTACTTTTTAATTGGATCCTTTGGTGTTTTGGAGACTTGCTTCTTGAGTTCTCTGTCAGATGTAGGGTTAGTGAATATCTTTTCCCATTCTGTAGGCTGCCTTTTTGTCTTGTTGACTGTGTCCTTTGTCTTACAGAAGCTTCTCAGTTTCAAGAGGCCCCGTGTATTAATTGTCGATCTCAGTGTCTGTGCTACATGTGTTATGTTCACAAAGCAGTCTCCTATACCAATTCGTTCAAGGGTACCTCCCACTTTCTCTTCCAAGAGGTTCAGTGAGGCTGGATTTATATTGAGGTCATTGGTCCACTTGGATTTAAGTTTTGTGCATGGTGATAGACATGGATCTATCTGCAATCTTCTACATGCCAGCATCCAGTTATGCCAGCACCATTTGTTGAAGATGCTTTCTTTTTTGCATTGTATAACTTTAGCTTTTTTTGTCAGATCAGGTGTACATACCTGTATGGGTTAATATCAAGGTGTTCAATTTGTTTCAGTTGGCCTACTTGTCCATTTTTATGCCAATACCAAGTTGTTTTCAGGATTATAACTCTATAATAGAATTTGAAGTCAGAGATAGTGATGCCTTCAGACGTTGCTTTGTTGAACAGGGTTATTCTCGGTCTTCTGTTTTTCCATGTAAAGTTGAGAATTGTTCTTTCAAGGTCTGTGAAGAATCATGCTGGGATTTTAATGGGGATTGCATTGAAACTGTAGTTTGCTTTTGACAAGATTGCCATTTTTACTACATTGTTCCTATCTATCCAAGAGCATGGGAGATCTTTCCATTTTCTCGTGTCTTCTTTAATTTCTTTCTTTAAGGACTCAAAGTTCTTGTGATATAGGTCTTTTACTTGTTTGTTTAGTGTTACCCCAAGGTATTTTATGTTGTTTGTGGCAATTGTAAAGGGTGATGTTTCTCTGATTT